CCAACAAATACGCCAAACAAAACGGATGGATCGGACACAACCTGAGAGGATCTTCAGGTGGCATCACTCACCAGACCCTCGAGTGGATCCGAATGAGAAAAGAACAGTTAGGTCTGTGAGGGTGATATGTGTGAGAACGTGTGAAGAGGAATTTAGGCTTTATGGACAGTCGTCGAGTCAGCTAAAGACGATCGCAAAAAGTAGGATGAAATGGAGACGTTCTGTTTGAGACTTATGTCCCACTTGGAACTTAAGGGAGTAATCATAATGAAACATAGAAAGGCAACACTTTAATTTCCCGATGTCCAGCTAACAAGGCCATATGGCAGCACTAAACGGGATATTTTCCATATGAAGTCGTCAGTTGGCCAAAACATCCAATTCGAATCGCTTGTCACTCTTGCATGCAATTGAAATCTTATTGGTATTATCATGTTTCATGGTGAGAAAATCTACACACTTTGGACAGTGAAACAATGAAAATAAAGAACTCATTATATGAGAACAGATTTCCAGGAAATTTTTTAAAATTTCCCTAGGTGCCATCTCGATGGCACCAGATAACTGCACTGTTATCTTTATTGTGATTATCACTGCTATACTGTCTTATAATCGACTAATCTAAAACCATACTCTCCGACCCCCAACACCCCCTCTATTTGCAACTTTCGCCTTGCATCTCATCAAGTAGAACCAGAAATCAGTATAAAATAATCTATGCTCGTACAACCAAGTACAGGAACTCAACGATACCATACTTGACCCGTGGTCTAGGCGACAGAGACAATGTTAAGCGCGAAACCTACGACTTGCTTTGTTGTTAATAACATAATTTTAGGCTCTTTTATTTTGTATTCTATAGAGAACTCCTTCTTAAACATACTTAGCTACCTAAATTATTAACATTGGCTTAGTTTTTGTACTTTACTGTATTTCTTCTCTGTGTAGCTACTGGTTCCGACTATATTAGCACTATGAGTAGTACAAAATTCTCCTGTCATTAACCATCATGTAATTATTAGTTTTTGTGGTTGTTTTTTCTTATTTTTTATTTCTTTCGGCAATATTAACTGACAATCATTGGTTGTGAACACCATTGTCATGCAGGATTACTCACACTACCACTACAAACACTGCATTAGGCCTGACAATAAAAAACAAAACAACCCTGAAATGTTATTTTATTGATTGTTTAGAGTTGTTTCAACCAAATTAACTGATCATCTTGGCGACAAACACTCTTAAATATTATTTCATAACTTCGTGTATGACTATAGCTTTACTGTCACCATGCATAATCATATCATAGCTTCCACTACCCAATACTGAGTTATTATTATATGCTGTTTATTTCCCTTCCTACTTCTTGGTATTTTTCGCATTTTTTTATTATTCCGTGTTTTTCCTGTTTCTTTTTTGCTGTTGGTGTCTTTATATTTATTTTTTTGAAATACGCCTTTTAAATGTTTGATAGAATTAGGTGCAAATATTGTAGATATGTGCTGAAAATTCCACACTGTACCACTAGTACTGTTTCTGGAATAAAGCAAATTATTATGATTATTATTATTTTAATCTTAGTTTGACAATTTACTACAAAACCAAAAACTATTATCCAATCGCTACCATACAATAGTTATTTCCCCCCTCTACTTCAACAAACATATACATGCTACCTATACAATTACAGTTATTGACTATTTAGACTATTTTAAAGCTTGCACGGATTGTTTTCAAAAGAACTGAGCACACCCTAGCTTTTTACAAGACCAAACTGTATAGAATTTTATTCTGTCTTCTCTTTCCCCTATGTATCGAAAACTATGGGCCGCTTTAGATTTTGCTTGTCATCCTTGCGCCACGGGTCATGCCGATCTTGTGTATCGTTCAAACTTTAATGTATGTACCACCGAAAACAAAAATAACCGTTATGTTGCTGCTAGGATAAGAACCTAGTATATATCCCATATATCACCAGTTTCGAGCCCTTATTTCTCCACGACTTATATTTCATCTTGCTCGAACTTCTAAAGACTAATTTCATATTGATCACTAATACTTTAGATTTATCAGTGCTCTACTGCTTGAACAGTTTCCATCCAAATAAAATCTGTTGTTTAGTCTTATTCCTTTATTATATTCTGTGGTTGTTCATGATTTCAGATGATTCCTTAATCTCTATTCAAGTTGTAGTATTAAATCGGAATTTTAAAGGAACAAAGAGGCGATACTATCAGTTTTACCGATTCTATTGATGTCATCTATGTAACAGAATACGTTACGTCACTACACGTTATATTATCTTAGACAATACTCCTTACTAAGGTAGTAGCTAATAATGATTAAAATGCTGCAACAGGCAAAGTAACTTGAAGTAACAGTTCTCATGCAAACCCTTTCAAAATATTCTCTGATTTCGAAAACACTTCCTTATTTCATAACAATAAAACTATAATATAATCAACATCAAGTTTGCGCCCCGCAGACACTGTTATTGTAAAAACACAGAAACAACCACATTGCATACATTTATTAGTCATTTCAAGCTTTATAAAGGATACACTCACAAATCGACCTTTATTTGCGACGGAAATCCAAATTTGTAAAATAAACTACATTACTTCAGAGCAAGTAAAGATCTCTCTGTTACCACTGAAACACGACATCAAGTAACGAGAGAGCCTAATCGGGACTGCTTTATATGATTGATTTCCTGATCAACATTTTCATCAGTCAAAAAGGCAGTTTAGTTTGTTCTTTGTAAATGATCTGAAAGGCCGAAATTTAGATTGTAACTTCTAAACTTTGTATTTTCTAGGGTTTATTCGATGACTGAGATAAAAATCTTACGTAGAAACTGTCAGCATATATTGACGTTGCATTTGGATTTCTATCCTACATTACATGGTGATCGATAGAATTCTGCAGTGCCTGCTGAAGTCGACGTACGATTTTCTGATGTATTTACTAAATTGAACGGTGTTATCTCTTGACAAAATGTCTTTTTCAACGAAATTTAAAATTTCATCAAAATAATTCCATACCACATTCACCTTTGTTTCTTCTCGCATTTACAGTACTATATACATCTAAATATTTCAGCGCTAAAAATAGACACTATGATTCTTGTACTTTTAGCTGATTCAAAACTTTGGAAAATGAAAAAGTATAACACCAGTTGTGTGTATTTAATACATAATTTACAGCCTCGTATGTCCTGGAATAAGGTACTTAGTTAAGGATTTTGATATAAAACAAGTTGTTAGAACACAAATGATAAATCTAATTCTCACCAATACCTACAACATTCTTAACTAATTTCTATGAAATAATTTTAAGTATTAATGCATTTAGAAAAAGGAAGATAGGCCAGATTAACAGTAGAAAACGATATCATTTTATTTTACAGGTTCTCATCAGCTCCAAACTATCTGAAATTACAACGGTTACAGAAGAATAAAAATAGCATACTTCAATATTGGAACGATTGCAGAAAAGATGTTATAAAATAGGGAGTCCAAACATCACAAATCATAGTTCATGCCATCATTATTGCGAAGTAAATAGCAAAGCGGTGGAGAAGACAGAAACCCGGGAAGAAATAATGTGTAATGCTAACTTATAAGATTATACAACATCTCAAGAAAATTACAGTTTTCAAGACTGAAGTCTGTTCATCAATGAGTTGAAATCACGAATGCAGATGATTATTGTATAAACGCAATCAAATTAACAACGCATATATCAAGGGGGTGAAAGATCGAAAACACCCTCTTTCTGCAAGCATAAGTTTGGTTAAAAACGTCTGATTGCAATCACTTCCGTATTATTATTTATTTATTTTATTTTTTCCCTGTGCGTTCTAAGTGGGACATATGGTTCCAGGCTTCAACTTTGAAGTTTCAGTAGGGGTGGTTTTATTCTTAAAGGGTGCGGTTTTCAGTTTCACGCCCAACATGCGGACTTTCATGGGAATAACCCGTAAATCATCTAGTGGCACAACACACTAAGCCATATGAATCAAGATGAAGTTATGACCAGAGAAACTAATGGACAGACAGCATATCTTATTTGACACAAAACTTCAAACATGGAGTTATCATACCTGAGGTATAAGACACGTGACTGTAGCTTATTACATAAAGTCAGCTCAATGGTCTAAAAATATACAGGCCAGAGCAGTAAAAAAGCACAGGCGTCTTTTTACCTTCGCTGGAACTTCTGGGATACAAAAGGTTTAAAGAAGTCAGAATGCTAAGAAGCAAAAGTTACGTCTTTAAAGAATGAACAGGTGCCAGATCATATAAGCGAACTACAAATTAACAGTAAATACAAGAACACTTAGTTCTAAGCAATATTTCTAGCCAAGTATTCGGCTAAGACTAAGAAATCATCTTTAAGACTTGTTCTACTGTTCGCTTGTTAAAAATACAAGGTGCGTATTGGCTAATTATTCATCTGTAAAAGTAAACAAGAACTTGGATAGCTGATTAATAGTGCTTCGACTTTATAAGAGACTTCCGGCACAAACTCAAACAAAAATTCCTACAGAAGTATTAATGGCAGTTGAACTAAGCACGACTGACAACGTTAAACTTTTGAAAATAGTGATATGGTTCAAGTTGCCACAGTGGCCAATTTTTATACTTATATAAAGTAAGAAGCTAATGATCTCTTCAAACAAGATTATTTTGACACAGTAACAAAAGTAAAGGTACAATAAACAATTTATATTCAAATAAATTTTATATACATTGACAAAGTTGCACAGTTTAAAGAAAACCTAAATCTCTGGTCCTTCTCCACCAGGCACCATCATAGCAATATTGCTACCGTTTAATAGGATATGTGATAACTTTGTTATACGTTTGCCTTGCGATGTAAATTCAAATTCAGTAACATCAACTAAGACCATGTTCACATAACCGTCAAATCCAAGCAAAGTGCCTACCATTTCCTTATCATTTTTCATAATTATATGAATTCTAGAACCTATACATTTATCCACTAGTTCCAGAGGAAGAAGTTGAGGTCCAGTCAGCGACATTTAACCAGGATCTACAAAGGAAAGTGAAACACATGAACCAGTAATGCATGTTTTAAAATAACATTCGTAAATGGAGTATGCAGCTTGCTACAATCACAGCTTAATAAATTAGATTTGACTTCTAGGCACTTTGTTTTATTTCCCACATATCTCTGATAATTAGGATATAGATGTCACTAAACATATGATAAAATATACCACACTTTGTTATTAAATTATGTTGATCAGGGGATTGTATAAACAAACAACACTGTAAGCTACAGTACAGTCACAATTAGAAACCAAACCGATCACCAAATATCTTGAGTCTTAAACAAGCAATAAAGGTTAATAAAGCAGGATTTAATGAATTCATCAAATTTCGGTAGAACTCGTCAGCTGAATACTCTACATACACGGATATATACTTTTGAAATTACATTGGGAGATATAGGACTGATAAGTAAATAAACTACATTGAATTAGTCATGCAGAAAGACAGGTGCGAATGTTTTTCCAGGTCATGTTCAATTAGATAAGGGGAGAGAGAGTATGGGAGATCAAAATTAAGATAAATTGCATTACGCTTCAATTACACCACTTAGATAAACAATTAGACATTAGAGAATTTAACAAGAATTGCAACCAGAGGGATGTCAATAGTAATAGTTATAATAACTCACTTCAACACTATTATTATTGTTATTATAACTATTACTATTGACATCCCTCTGGTTGCAATTCTTGTTAAATTCTCTAATGTCTAATTGTTTATCTAAGTGGTGTAATTGAAGCGTAATGCAATTTATCTTAATTTTGATCTCCCATACTCTCTCTCCCCTTATCTAATTGAACATGACCTGGAAAAACATTCGCACCTGTCTTTCTGCATGACTAATTCAATGTAGTTTATTTACTTATCAGTCCTATATCTCCCAATGTAATTTCAAAAGTATATATCCGTGTATGTAGAGTATTCAGCTGACGAGTTCTACCGAAATTTGATGAATTCATTAAATCCTGCTTTATTAACCTTTATTGCTTGTTCTAAATTCGTATCGGGAAATAAATGTTTCCAAATCTTGAGTCTAGTCATTAGTGGAGAAATGCTATAAACATTAGTCTATATAATGAAACTTGCAAATACAGCATTTCAGATAGCTTACACATAGTTTTGCAACTTGGTTTTCACTAATAGAAAGGTCGTGGCTCATTATTCTATGAGCTTGTATTTCGAAAACTAGATTAAAAATTCAGAATTCATTCCATTAACTGAGGTTCACACAACATGGTAGCATCATTATTCCCTACTGGAACATATGTCTTCAAGCTAGAGGCTTGAAGTTTCGGTAGCAGTGGTCTTTATTTTTACAAGATGAGGTTGCTAGCCTCATGCCCAATCTTCCCTCTTTACCAGTATTATTGCTGGCTTAGCGAGGTAAAGAAGCACATCGGCCGGGGATCGAACACCGAACCACATGCGTGGTTGGCGAGCATTCTACCGCTACGCCACCGGCGCTGTGCCCTATGCAGTAGGTACGTCTTATTATCACATATAAAAATGAGCGGTTATGACTATCATCCTACATTTCCATTTTCACAATGGATGGTTGTTTTCAAAATATATATCGAACTTTTACCGAAAACAAAGTTTACTGTATTCCATACGAAAGTGGACTGACTGAATCGTTTCATAGTAAAACTCCGCATAGGTGTGCAGCAGTTTGAGTTGTCGCACTCCATGTAGCACACATAGCAAGAAGAGAGAGATTCCAGAGAGAGATAGGAAACAGGAATGTGAAGCAAAAAGAATAGTAATATGGAAAAACAATAGAATTTTATTGGATATTATAAATCACAGAGTTACTGCATCTACCCTATTCATTGAGCCACTTGGTTTAACCATCCCAAGCACCCCAACAGGAAGTCTCCACTTGCCTAACAAAATGGGACATTTACTACCCAGAGACACATTCGACTTATATTATGCAGACAGCATAGTCACCATAATTTACTTCCTTTTTACTAAGAGGGTATAAAGAGGAAATCTACTGATTACCATTTATTATTAAAACAAACTTCGCGCATTGTATGCACCAATAGACACCCCACAATTTGCTTGATTAAGTTTCACCAACTAACAAGGAAAATTCATATGAACTGTGGTCAAGATTTGAGCGCATAGTTCCAAAATAATTGGGCGCCGAGTGAGAATTAGACATTTGTAAAAAGAAGTTTGGACCAGATTGCTGAACGAAACGTTGGAATTAATCAATTCAGTTTCTGAGATTTTATAAATATAATTTTTTAACAAGAAAACTAAATGTTCGACATGGATTTCAAACCAAAAGGCTATCTTTACGGGTATAAATATGGGCAAGAAGGAATTAGCGAATATCTAACTCTCCTCATAACTCTCATCAGCAATTTTAAGCACTTCTGTCCATAATAGAAGCTTCTCTCTACTTGAACTAATTATTTAACTGTGTGACTTAAATCGACGAAGAATCAAGAGTTATGTGTACCAGTTTTTGGTTTAAAAATACATGCGAATGACGTAAAAGCAAACTAAGCTTTCACATTTGGTGACATTATCTAGTCAGCTACAAGATATTGTTCATATACTAGTACAATTAAATTGAAGATATCTCCTTTCACAGTGGACTTAACAGCTAGTAAAAACCAATATTTACATTCCGTGAAATATAGGTCCTTGTTAGACATACAAAGAATACGAACAGACAATGATCTTTACAGTCATCAGATGTTTTCACAAAAAAAAAATGTGGAAGACTGCTGATGAAAGAATAATAGAGAAGTATTTAGCTCTAGAGCTGTCGTTATTAACTGCAACAGATAACCAACCAAATATCACTTTTTTCCTGCCAACTATAACTGCTACGTGATAGTTATCTTTATGTTAACGCCCACCGCTCAAGGCTGTTTGTGATTCTCATCCAAAGTACATTTCAACTTTTCTTCACACATAGCTAGAAATATATCGTGACCGACTCTAGACAAATCATTCCGAATATTTAGGGGGGTTAATATTGCTGTTATCATTAAACTTCGTCTCAAGAATACACAAGAAACTTCAATACAAACATTAACACAAAGCTTCAGTAGGCATGTATGTTTAAGGACATCTACCAACGAGCATGAACAATCCCTCATGTCTTCTGACTCATTTTTTGACAAACACATACTTACAAGACTATTGTAAAGGCATAGAGAAAACAACCTCGCCTAGATTACTAGCTCGCTAGTTTTCTAGCTGGTCCCAAGCCCGGATAAAGAGGGAGGGTTGGGGCGTGATACTAGCAACTCCACTCCCAAAACTTAAACAAATTGTTACAGAAACTTCAACGCATAAATATATTAAAAATACTAGAAATATCAACAACAACCTTATTTTTCGGTGGAATCGGGGAAGTGAAATGACGCAGGCTGGTGAAAGCCTTCGGGAAGCCAGTCAGCTTATGTGCCTCGTTTCGATGAAAGCAAAAATAAGGATGGGGATGTGGAATGTTCGTACAATGTACGAAGCTGGAAAAGCTGCCCAGGTAGTCGCGGAAATGAGAAGATATGGAACAGAAGTGTTGGGAATCTGCGAGAGCAGATGGAACGGATCTGGAAGATTCCAACTGTCAACTGGTGAGACAGTAATCTATTCCGGTCACCCAGAGGACAACCACGAGCACACCGAGGGAGTGGCCATCATGATGTCACCAACAGCAGCCAAAGTTCTCATGCAATGGGAACCAATCTCCTCCAGGATAATGACAGCTAGGTTCAACTCAAAAGGAAGGAAAGTTACAATCATCCAATGCTATGAGCCTACAAACGTCTCAGAACAAGAGAAGAAGGAGGACTTCTACAGACAACTACAAGCAGTAATGGACAACGTCCCAAATGGCGATATCGAAATCCTGATGGGTGATATGAATGCGAAACTGCGAGGAGACAATACAGGAAGCGAACTCACCATGGGTCGTGAGGCCCTCGGTGAAATGAACGACACTGGTGAACTCTTCTCAAACTTCTGCTCCTTCAATGATTGCGTGATTGGTGGCAGTGTGTTCAAACACAAGGATATACACAAGGCGACATGGATTTCACCAGATGGACACACCAAAAACCAGATAGACTTCATTTCAATCTCAAGGAAGTGGAGACGGAGCCTACTGGACACAAGATCGAGGAAAGGAGCAGATTTAGGTTCAGACCACTATCTCGTACAAGGGGCTTCCAATGTGAAGCTAAAAGCCTCGAGGATAGCTGGGGATAGGCCACAATGCAAGTTCAACACTCAAAAACTGAAGGACACAACCACAAAGGACACTTTCACTGCAACTGTCAGAGCAAAGCAGGAAACACTACATGGCATCATTGAGGAATCATGCGTGAAAGACCACTAGAGCTTTCTGAAGGTGACTTTCAACGAGACGTGTTCAACGGTTTAAGGAGGAAAGAAGAGACAAGGCAAGGAATGGCTCTCAACGGACACTTGGGAGCTAATAGAGGAGAGGAGAATGGTGAAAGAGAAAATGATTCAATGCAAAGACGGACAAGAGAAGGAGATGCCGAGTTCAACCTAAACAGCACTAGACAGAGAAGTGAAGAAGAGTGCTAGGAAGGACAAAAGACAATTCTACGACAACCTGGCTACTGGAGCTGAGAAGGCAAAAGGGACCTGAGGACATTATATCAGATAGAAAAGTCTCTATCCCGGAAGAGATCAACACAAGTGAAACCTATAAAAGACAGCCAAGGGAACCCAATTACCAAGGAAGAAAGACAGATTAAACAATGGGCGGACCACTTCAAAGGACTCTTGAACCGATCACCACCTACAACCCGTCCAGAAATACCAACAACAGCGCGTACAAAACTGCAAGTTGACACCAATCCTCCAACGAAAGCTGAAGTCTTGAATACAATCAAGCTTCTGAAAGCTGGACCAGATGGAATACCCCCGGAAGCACTGAAAGCGGACCCAGAGACGACAGCGGATATGCTGACTCCATTATTGCAAAAGGTCTGGAAAGAGGGAAAGGTGCCTACTGACTGGAGGAAAGGCTACCTTGTAAAACTACCAAAGAAGGGCGACTTACGACTCTGCAAGAACTGGCGAGGAATCATGCTCCTGTCGGCGCCAAGTAAAATTCTGAGTCGCATCATCCTGGAGAGAATAAAGGACGCACTGGATACAGAACTCCGACCAGAACAAGCTGGATTCAGGAAAGGCGAATCATGTTCTGACCAAATTGCAACTCTATTCATCACCATCGAACAAAGCATGGAATGGCAATCAAACCTCTACCTCAACTTTATAGACTTTGAGAAGGCTTACGACAGCGTTGATCGCGAAGTAATTTGGAAACTACTCGAGTACTACGGCGTACCCCAAATATTCACCGACCTTATTCAACAGCTGTACGACAACGGCACATGTCAAATGATCCACAACGGAAAACTCAGCGAGGCGTTTGGAGTAAACACAGGAGTCAGACAAGGGTGTTTATTATCACCAACGATATTCCTAATTGTGGTGGATTGGATTATGCGTCAGACAGTGGGAAACGAGAAGACAGGGATATCCTGGACCGACGTGAAGAACCTAGAAGACCTCGATTTCGCGAATGATTTATGTTTGATGTCACACAAAATCGAAGACTTACAAGCAAAAACCGATAAACTGGTCGAAGAAGCAGCAAAGACAGGACTCCAGGTGAACATAGACAAGACGGAGGTCATGAAAATAACCAACCAACAACAGCAGCAACATCCAGCGCCAATCACCATCAACGGGAGGGATTTGAAAGAGGTTACTTCTTTCACTTATCTAGGGAGCATTGTCTCAACCACAGGAGGAACCGACGAGGATGTCAAATCGAGAATCGGGAAGGCAAGAAACACATTCATCAACCTGAAACCAATCTGGAAATCTTCGTCACTCAGCATCAAAAACAAAATTCGGATTTTCAATACAAACGTCAAGTCAGTCAGTTCTCTATGCGGATCAGAAACTTGGCGGGTCACAAAGAATATTTCCAACAGGTTTCAGACCTTTATCAACAACTGTCTTCGTTCTATACTCAGGATCAGATGGCCGGAAAGAATCACCATCAAGAAACTATGAGAACAAACAAAACAAGAACCAACCAACAAATATGCAGGAGAAAGTGGAGATGGATTGGACACTCGCTGTAGAGGCGGCTGGGTGACATTGCGCGTCAGGCACTCGAGTGGAACCCGGAAGGAAAGCCGCGAGTGGGACGTCCAAGGATGACATGGAGGTGATCGTGTGAAGAGGAGCTGAAACAGTATTGACTAACATGGATGCAGGTGAAAAGTACAGCAGAACACAGAAGCAAGTGGAGACGTGCAGTTGAATCCTTGAATCTTACGAGGAACCCAAGGGAATAATAATAATAATAATATTAATAATAATAATAATAGAGATAACAGATCTCCAACCATACAGTATAATAGGAACCTGCTTTGAAAATTGTCAATAAATATGCAGATCTCCTTATAATACCAATACTTACACAGATTTAGAAACCTAAGACGCCCTCTCCAGTAGCCTTATGAACACTGATTCACCTCGACAACCATCCTCGCTGGGATGAATCTACAGTACTGTTTTAGCGTTAATACTCCTCCAATTTTAGTTACAGATCTGGAGTTGTCTGACCCAACAAAAACAAATGATTATTACAGATATAAACTGAATGCTTTTGCGTTAGAGCAAAACATTCAAGATTTATATCAGATCACAGATTTGCGTAAATTTACCGTCAACTTTATTTTCCATACACTAAAAAACCCACAGAAGAAAGACTGACCAAGTTCTAATTATTAGACAGAGAATATCACCAAAACACTACAGCACAACCGTTAATAAAATATTTACGACTAAATTTTTACTTACATGTGGAGAACAAAGTTGAAGCAAACTTGAAATTTCGCAGAAAACCTTGGTTCAATAAACAATAGGCTTACAATGACATAATCAAAGAAGATCAATAAAAAAGGTAGAAGCAATGGCAGACTACTTCACCGAGGTCTTTGCACAGGAGTCATCACTGCCATAGGATCAGCTCTAGCTGCATCAGAGGAACACGGGATGGACACCAAGACATCATGCTCAACTGCCTAATGAAACTGGATGCAGAAAAATCAATGGGTCCTGAAAGTCTTCATCCAAGGCTTTCCAAGGAGCTGTCAGCTCCCATAGCCGGCCCATTGACCACGATCTTCAAGCTATCTCTCCTAAATGGAGTGTTGCTACGTGACTGGGAAGACGCCAAGTAACTCCCATCCACAGAGGAGGATCAAGATAAAGCCCTTCAAACTACAAGCCCATTAGTCCAACCAGCACTTTAATCAAGACACTGGAAAGAATCACCAGGAAACGTATCACGGGATATCTGGAAAACAGCAATTTATTATCTTGAGCACAGTATGGCTTCCGACGGAACCTCTCCCTCCCATACCTGTAAAATCTCGCTGGAAGAGAAAGCTGAGTCAAACTGAGGGACAAGTGAAGATCCGGTGACATTGTATTCATAGAATTCATAAAAGTCCTCGATAAAGTTCCCCACAAAAGACTACTCATGGAGTTGGAAAGACTTGGTATCAAAGGCAGCTTACTGAACTGGATTAGGGAATTCCGCACAGATAGGAGGCAGAGAGACAGGGTCAGCTCGAAACTCCGCTCCTGGACAGAAGCGCGTAGCGGTATACCACGAGGCGTGGTACTAGAACCTCTCCTATTTATTTTGTATGTCAATGAGTTATCTCTGCTCACCGATTCCCCAATGGTCCTGGACGCAGATGAATTAAAAATCTAGAGAGAGCTGAAGGGCAACAGTGATACTCTCACTCTGCAAGAGGACCTTAACAGATCGTCAAACTGGTCCATAGGATAGATACTCCCGATCAATGTAGCGAAATGTGCAACCATGCACATCGGGTACGCAAGCATCAGCCACTACAAACTAGAGTGAATAACACTGCCGTCAGTTGAGACTCATTTCGACTAAGATGTCGTAGTAAGTCACGATTTAAAAACTACAGCACAATGTTGCGTTGTGGCTTCACGTAGCTTCAGATCCTTATGGTCAATTAGCGGAGCCTTTACTAGAATCACCAGAGATATATTCACTTCCTTATATACATCTCTGGTGAGGTTAAGACCAGCAAACTGTATCCAGGCAGCCAGTCCTTGTCCTAAAGAACACTCACATATTCTAGAAAGGGCCCAAAAGAAGGCAACGTGCATTATTCTTGGCATGACCAATCTATCATACGAGGAAAGGCTAGACAGTTTAGATCTCTTCTCCCTGTCATACCGCAGGCAGAGAGGAGATTTAATTACAATGTTTAAAACTTTAAATAATGACTACGAACCCGATCCATTCTCTTTTTTCCCCCCTACTGGGTCGGAACACCTTAGAGGACATAGCAGGAGAGTTCAAAAGCCAAGGAGAAACCATTTTGCTATGGAGTACTGCTTCTCACACTGAGTCATAAACCTTTGGAACCGACTCCTAGAAGAAGTGGTGTCTGCAGGCGCAACTCATTCATCCAAGAAAGGTTTGGACAAGCACAGAAATTCACCAGAAAAGGATTGACATAGGCTCCAAGCCTTCTGTCCTCAACTAATATATCTGAAATCTCAATCTGATGAGCGATGTGAGTTTACAGACATCATCAATATGATAATAATTACATACATGAGGCGGGCATATTTACAATTATTAACCTACACAGTATATATATATTGTGACTGTAAACTACGGAAGACCAAAACGAAAATATCTCCAGCGACCAATCAAGTTGGCAAGAAGTAGAAGTGCGCGATTTGAATGCAACGTCTATATACAGGTAATGCAATGTTAAAAATGGCTACATAGGATAATAATTCGTCAAGGTCATCAATTTGTTCACGAGGTAGTTTCCTTTGGGCTGCTTTAGTTCAGCCGCCAATGGATAGAGGCACACACGGAGTGTCGTTATGTGTTATCGTGATTTTGTGTTTGGGTTGTTCTACGTTGTTTTCAGGTGTTTTTTCAACTGAAATACATTATACATACCATATTTTGGCGAAAAAACTTAGAAAAATGGTGGAAAGTAGACGTTTTTCAACAGTTTGAGTGAACACGTATTTTTCATCGAATGTCGTTGTTTCTTTGCATGTGGAATGTTAAAATTCCGTGTCAATTGTTGATTACGTTAATAAAAACGAAATAAATTAGGTAAATGAAGTGTATTTTGCGAAATTCCGAAGCGGTGCTTTGAATCTCTGAGTTCTGAAAATGTGGTTACAATCAGGAGAGTTTACAGGTATAAGGGAATGTTACTTGATTTATTCGTAACATAACACTGAAGAAACAAGGTTTTTACTGAGATGTCCTTTGCTTTTTAGCAATTTTGTATTGGTAAGTATTTGCTAACAGAATTATCAGTGTTGTTGGTTTTCAGGTTACAATTGTGATGGTTCGCTTGATTTGAGAGCTTTGATGAAGTGATTTTGAAGAATTTTCGTGTTAACGTTGGAATCTTTGTGATGTTATAAAATTCTTTCTCAAAATAAATATTTCCTAAAAGTTTTAACAGTATTCTTGCACGACTACTTTTTTGCTTGTCTAAGGGATAGTGATGTAGCTATTCTTCGAATTTGTAATTAATTCGAAAGAACAATAATTCGCACAGTAGAAGAATACTAGGATAATTATGTTAAATTGGATATACCTATAATACGTTATTTTCGATGAACGTAGCCGTCCTACATTTGTTATTGTGCATATGCAGTGATCTCATAAGAAACATAAGCTAAAGGTATAATTTTCCGGTAGCGCTGATGAAAGCTAATCTTTCACGCAGTCGGACTTAGGAAACAGTTGATCTTTGCGCGCATATAAGGAGTAATAATGGCTAACCACTTTGATTGTGCTTTATAAAAGGGTAACTGTATTTCGTTATTACAATACAAACACATGTTTTACGCGATTCCTTTTTTAACACTAATGGCTACTTATACCATACGCAATCGGATAAAATGCAAATGATATGTTGCACGCACCTAAGGACTAATAACGGCTTACGAGTTTGACAGCATTTTACGAGAGGATTAATACGTCACCTAGAATTCTCTTTAAGAATAATGCATCTTCGACGTGATAAAGGAAAGAAATACACTGAGTCAATAGGAATGTATGTATTTACGGTAAATTGAGAATATGTATATTAAAAAGGTGTAGTACAAAAATAGTTCAAGTAAAAAAAGGTCATTAGTTATCTGCATCATAGGCTTCTGGAACGCGCTCCACTGTTTCCATGCAAACATGAAAGTTGTACTCCCGCGACCACCTTCGGCTGTGTTGCAGTAAATCTAATGGTATATGCATGTAAACTGCTTGAATTAAACTTACCTCCAGTGAACAATCCCACAGTGTAGGTATACAGGATGTAGGAACAAGGTAGATGATAATCATGGAATTGATGACACGTACACACTCCCCTGGAAATGTCCACAAGATTGAAGGCAACTCCATCATAGCATTCAATTATGTCGCTGCTTACCACAGTGTGATGAATGCGTTCAACCCTTCGGTAACTGTTGAATACTAATTTCCCGGCATAAGGTGTCAATTTGTCTAAGTGCATTTGAATTACTTCTGGAACCTACAAAGCGTCTAATAATGAAGTGTTACTTACATCATATTGAAAAATGTCTATAAATTAAACATTGTATTGTACTGTCTTAGACGCCAATACTTTTTCGCCCTGTTATTAACTTTCCACATGGTTAGCACTAGTGGGTCGTTTCGCCGAAGGTGCAACTTTAAGTGCTTATGAGCACTCTCAACCCTGTTGTTCGTTCCGTTATCCAACGTCATCTGTTTCCTCCTGAAGCATCTAGCCCACATTCTCCTATTATTCATCCATTGTCCATTTAAATATTGGTATGCTTGAGTGAATTTATCTTGAAGTAATCTGTAATAATAGTCAAATCTTCAGAATTAACAAATTCGTAACTCAGACATCACTTACCTTTCTCTAAAACGCGTTGAAAGCATTCTTCGTAGTGCGAACCATATGTCACTATTCCAAAACTACGCAGTAATGATGAATTATAGGCACAAACCTTCCGACCAAATGCTCGCAGCACATGAAATGAGCAAAGGACTATCCTGCAATGTGGAAACACTTGTTGCACCGAAGATATTTCCGCCTGACAATTATCCATTACAAACATCTTCGTTATATCGGTGCATCCCATAATGGATTCAAACATCTGCAGGACAAACTTGACATCGAACACTGTCTCCCTCTTACAAAAAGCAAACATAACACAAGCACCATTTCCACACCCATATGTGGCGACTAACGGAAAAAGACTGAAACTTCAGACAGTAAACCAGTATCAGTAACTTACCCAAGCTTGTTCGTTTTGTACGTCAAATCAATGCAAATTACTTCTGGAAAACTCTGAAAAAAACTAAATTTGTTGCTGCAGGCTGAAACATACGACATCAATCTCTCCATTTGCAGTCTTTGTACGAATTTGTCCTGTTGATGCTAACAGCTGCAGAACTTCATCCATACTTTTCATACCTAGAATGACGTTAACCAATTATTTCGTAATATGTAGACCTCCAAACACTTCTCTCAATTTTAAAACATCTTTTCGCGTTAGATATTTTCTGAATTTCGAGAAAACTGCATCCCCCAGTTCAGCAGTTGATATCATATATTTAACCATACAATTCACTTCAGTCTTCTCCTCCTCCGTTAACCAACGTCTGCTGTAGTCCACCATCATAAATTATTTTGTACAAGGATGATTATGTACACCCTTCACATCACCTACTTCCAGGCGTCTGTTAACTGAATTAACACAGAAACTCGATGTACAACCCATACACTTAGAACTTATAAAACACAGACTAAAAACTCACATATACACTTACGGTGTTCCAGGCCTAACTCCTTTAGACCGACTTCACCGTATTTGACCGAAGGTACACACACAACTTACACGTTTGTAACGAAGAATACGATTAATGCTATCTACACAACTGCTTCTCAAACATAATGAGTATGCGCAAGATTATTGAATTCTTTAAAGGCAGTCTCAAATGCATCCCACGTGTCAAAATGGTTACACTTCAATATGCGGTTAAATACATCAACCACTTCGTCAGTCATCAACCAAAACACAACTTTCACGCCTTTTTCAGCGGTTTACACTACTTACGTATTGCCGCCACGTATACGCCAACTCGAAATCACCAACCACAACACGCAAAAGTGCCCTTGAAGTGCTCAACCTCTCCATAAGGTCGTGTGTGCCACTATCCATTGCCAGTTCAGTCATCTATATATATTTATATATATACATACGCCAGAAAATGTAATGGAATAATGTCAGTAAGCACAATTTACATAAGTAAAAACAATACACATGACACAATCCTAGGCAAAATCATTGTGTGAATTAGGCGAAGGTGTGCGTAAAAACTAAAGTTTACGTTACAAGTGGTAGATAACGTAGGCCATTCACAAAAGTAGAAAACCAGCTTGCAAAGCGTTAGTTTACCGTGTGGAGTACGTAACAATATGATTGTACACTCCTATGTCAGATGTTGAAATCGGAGGCATTGTACATGACTTTTGATTAAAACAATTCATTTTGGAATACAGATAACCTCCGAGTACAGTCTAAAATACAGTGTGCTGTTCATCGTCCCGTCTTCTCGCTTGTTTATACTGTCTACTTGCTCCACTCATAACCGTGTTGTATACTTTGAATCTTCGCAGGAACCTCTTATCCTCGTCCGAAGACAATTATACAACCGGTACATAGCTTTTACCAGTAGACACGATTCCAGTAGTGAACGCTTCTGTGGATTATATTATTAATTTGTGACCGTGGACTTTAACTGAATATCCAAGTAACCGTTAAATGAATATAGCAGTATATTTCATAATATACTGTTACACTATCATCTCATTAACTTGGATATTTATTCACATACTTGTTATGTTATTGAGCTCGCTAGACATTCCCCTACAACTGACAATAATGTTCGCAGCAATATCATCTACAAGCGGCTAAACGCAGCAGTTAGTGTCCAGTTGAACATATAAAGAAGCATTGATAAATCACCATAACCAGCAACCGGTGAATTTTTGAATTCATTTCGTCCAGGAACCAGAATGATTGCGAACTAATCCATACAAAATGATAAAATGATGCGTGCAGGAGCGGAATATTACCATTCAATGACCCAGCGAGGTTCAAAACACAACTGTCAGCATATTTCACTACTTCTTAGACAATCAGGTTTATTGGTGTTGCACAGGTAGTGATATGGATTTGTCAACATGATGAGCTGTGAATAAATATCCAGATGTGTACTACAGCTCGTTCGCCGTGCGGATTTAGTTAGTTCCATCTCGTGTGGCGTTTGATTTCTCTATAATCTTGAGATATTCTGCAGGCAATCACTGTGATCATGAGAAGTATACATATGCTTTGAATGCATTGTTTCGTGGACTTCTACCACCATTGAGTACATACTCGATATTGGGAAGGTTTAAGAATTCGAGTTGTACCAACGGGAATCGTGGATTTGCATAATTCCTCGTCCTTTATTAATTACGAGACCCAACTTATTAATACTCTGGAACAAATATCCTCCCTACACTACGATCATAAGATCCTATGTGGAGACTTTAACTTATCAGAAATCAACTTAGGCACACTGGATATACTTGGCTGGAAACAGACTGTCACAACCCCAAGAAGAGGTAATAACTTACTAGACTTAATCTTCTGCCACAATATAAGTCCCCTTTCTACCCTAATAGGTTCTGAGTTTCCAGGGAGTGACCACAAAACAGTGGTGTGTGCACTGCCACTTCCGTCAAGTAGCAATGCAGCCCATACCCCTACTTCACAACAAATAACTTACAGGAACTACAGTAAGGCAGATTGGACTCTATTGAAATCAATGTTAATATCCTCAGAATGGAGAGAGTACTTCACTACTGATGACCTCTCGCGAGCTCTGAGCATCTTCTACCATAACTCCAACACATGCTTAGATGCTGTCATTCCACTCCAAACACTTGAGCTTTCCCCACATAGGAAGTCATTCATAAAACCAAAGGATCGTATGAAACTGAAGAAACTCTCAACAAGTTACTTCAAACACCACGACTTTGGCACGCTAGGTTGAATACTTAACACCCTTAGTTCCATCTCACAAGCTCGAAATTTTCGTATGAGAAACGAAGAACGCATCGCAGTAGCCAGTCCTGCTAGAGTGTATGCACGGAAATCTTAAAGAAGCGAATGAATCGCAAAAATCACAGCATTTCCCTCCTCATAGACAAAGGTAGGCTATGTACTAATTCCGCAGACATGTGTGAATTATTTAACTCAACTTTTGCAGGTAACTACCCTAAGCCCACAGTCCAGTTACTCAATATACACCCTGCTACTAATGTGGCACAAACTCCATCTCCACACACACCAAACTTAATCAGTACTGTTGAATTTAACTATACTAACATTAAACAAACTATAAGAACCCTAAAATGCTCAAAAGGTTTCGGTACTGACGGCATATCATCCTATTTTTATAAATATGGTGACCCTGACATTCCCCTACTACTACTTAAAATATTCACAATGTCCTTAGAAACCCAAACTTACCCTGATGTATGGAAAACAACGTTTATTACGCCTAAACACAAATCTGGCTCGAAAACAGACGTCAGTAACTACAGGCCAATTAATATCACACCTATAGCATCTAGAATTATGGAGAGACTAGTTAAAGACAACCTAATCAAGCATATGCTTAGCTGCAACATTATAAGTCCGAACCAACATGGATTCCTAAAATCCAGATCTTGTTTAACATGCCACTTAGACTTCTTCAACTTTGTGGCCAGCAGTCGTGACAAACGACAACTAGTACTTGTCATCTACTTTGACATCTCAAAGGCATTTGACCGTGTCGACCATTTACTAGTAGTGCACAAGCTGAAATCCTTAGGAATACGTGACCCACTATTAGGATGGCCTAAGTTATTCCTTAACAATAGGTCCCAAATAGTTAAACTCGGATCTATAACTTCGAAAGCTAGCCCAATCACCTCTGGTGTAGTACAAGGTAGTGTCATTG